AGTATGTCTGTCCGCCTCTGCATTAAACGTAATGAAAATCAATGCGATTAATCCCAAAATCACGATGTTGGATTAAACTTATGGGATTAATCTTATGTGAAAACCGTTTTACCCCAAAAACGTTTATACTGAATAATCGAGAATCAAACTGAGTAGCGAAAGCGTACCTGATAGGTTCATCTTATTTAAATGGGTTTGACTTAGAATTTGGTTTGGAATTTAGAGAACTTCATAAAGGTCGTGAACCTTATCCTCTTTTACGATGTAATGAAGGGAAAATTTCAAAAATAGTCCCACAGCTATCGGGTTTTCAACTTTTGGCCCCAATGGAATGGTGTTTCCCAAAACTTGTCCACTAACTTTTTAATTTCAATCAAAGGCAAGATAATTGTGGTCGGAGTTGCCTTTTTCGGCACAGAAAAGACACGTCGTGCCGACGTGTCTTAACATTAGTACACCTGGCCGATGAATTAAAAGCGTGGTCGATTACATGGCCACTTAAATCCTGCGTAGTAGATGGCAAGACACAAAAGGGTGGAAATCTCGATTTTGCCCTAAATCTGCAAAACATTTCATACGCACGGAAAAAATTATTCTTGGGCGAGATAAATCTCACGCACGATATGTCTTTTGTGACGGGAATTGTTGATCGTCACTGTGGTCGTAAAGCTGTGATATGGACCTCATGGACGAACGAGAACCCAGGTTGCCGCTTCCATTCTTGCTTGAAGAACTAGGTAAGTTCCATTTTTTTTTTTTTTTTGGTGAATCGAATGATTCTTCAGTTTCTGATTTTTTGTAATTTTCAAACAGAACATTGCATCAAGGAGATTGTGATTTATTTGACTATGACCCCCCAATGTGTCGTGGTCAAAGCACTAATTCCTGGACTTTTGAAGAAGGTTAATGCAAGTGAAGAAGAAACACTAAGTTTGGCTGCATTGAATAGAAAGTTAAAACAAATTATTTTTGTGTTGGTTCTTTTGGTTATGTCAATTTTCATCATCAATATGAATGTTGTTGTGAAGAACTGAAGTGGAAGGTTGATTGTGAAGATGCTTCGATGAATTAGAAAAGTTGTTTGAAATTTTGCCCACCATTTTGGAAACTGTATGGATGAAAGTATGCTATGTGTTCCTTTTGAAAACCGAACTATCCTTCAGTGAATGTTAGGACTTGTTTTCAATTTGCAGCAAATGTAATGAACGTTTGACTATGTCTTAATATTTGTTTATGAATTATGTTCTTTATTGCATATATGTTTATTGGTATTGTTTAATTGTTTCAACGGCTATGTTTAGTATGTATTGTTCTATCTATACAACTACACATCATATAACACACATTACCAACTCTTAAATAACAATTTTTTTGTTCAAGATAAAAAAATATATTCGAACTATATTACTTACAATTAACATTTTATAACTTATTTTGTACGCTTTAGAATTTTCACGATATTATATCATTATAAAACCCATCACTATGTTTCATGTGTTAGGACTTTGTCTCATGTGTTAGATCTTTGTCTCATGTGTTTCCTATTAGTCGTTTTGATTGTCTTAAATATTTTGGTGTGAAGTACAATAACAATACTGATGATAATTATTTTCAAAATCATAATAATTCGTTACAACTCATACTTACATGTTACCTGGAATAGCAAAATTGTAATATATAAGGAATCTAAAAGCATATTATTTACTTGTTGCAATCATTTACACCGCTCAACTCTAATTAAACAGGTCCGAACCTAAAAAACCCTGATTCAAACGGGCTACCAATAAAGGACCATAACCCTGTTTTTTTTTCCTAAGCTAAACGGACCGGTCCATCGGGCCAAAACCGTTTGGGAAAATTACGTACATGTAGTCTTGTGTATATATATTTACATATATACAACCATTGCAAACTTTAATCAACAAAGGACTCTATTGTGATTTTTATTGCACAATTACGAGATTTCAATTAAATACAATCTGATGAGTTACTCTCTTTCCATATCTCGGTCATGGCAAGAAGCACCCGACATCAACGCTAAAAAAACGGAAGCCTGGAAACAACCACCGGCCGGCCGATCACCGTCGAAGATGGATCTCTACTGTGTCTGAGCCTGTTCTTCCTCAATTCACGACTCCTTCACAGCAGCCATGGAAGCCTTCTCCGAACACCCTGTCATTTAGCCTCCCCCCTTATTCGCGCATTTTGTCTGACCTAATTCTATCCGCGAATCGATCGTCCTCGCCATGAATCTTGATTTATTTCACGGAAAAAATATAAGCGATCGTGTTGTTTTGTGAAATTAATCGAGAAGTATACGCTGAGAAAAAAATCGAAGGTATATTCATGTTTATGTTGTTTTTTTTTTTTTGTGATCAATTACGAATTTTTTGTGTTTTTTTTTTTTTGTTTACTTTGTGATTTCATTGTGTTGCATCGAGTCATAATCAGTTTATCGAAAAAATTCGGAAGATGATTATTTTATAGAGGAATCGCCGAACCAGCTGCCGACTATGTTGAAAACAGTGAATTATACGGAAGATAAATGGGAAATAAACACTCCAGAACACTCCAAAAATAGTGAAGTATATGGAAGATAAACGAGAAATAAACACTCCAGAACACTTGGAGTTTTGGTCGATGGATACATGAATACTGATATTGCGGTCGGCGAAACTTTCAAAGATAAAAGTGTCCATGTG